TAAGGACAGCAGGATGACTAGCAGAACACATGCCATTTTGTGAGACCATTGGCTTTTCATTACTGACAATGTAAAAAACTGCTAGTATTTCTTTACTGTATAATTATCTATCAAAAGAAATTAATTTTTAAACAGTTAATGATGAATCTGATTGATAGAAACCACATTGCAGTCAATGAAAAGATTTTTTTTAACTTGACAAGGTTTGGCACTGCATGTGGTATTTTATACTGTATCACTTTTACTTTGTTAAATTTGATAATACAAGTGATACAAACCCAATTTTTCTTTTACTTTTCTCCACTTTGCTGATTTTCAAAATAATTCTGTTGGCTTGATTTAGAGACTTGCATTATGAAGCCTAATTCTTTTTGAGTGAACAGCATTATATATTTTTACTGGATTATAAACTGTCACTTGGAAAACAAATGTCTTCTTTTGGCATTCACATTTCTCAAAACTACTTCTGTATTTATCTTTCAGCAAGTCATTCTCCAAGGGCACTTGATTCTTTTAACATTATTTCTGAAAGGCCTTTTGTAACTCATGGAACTTGCTGAAAAACATTTTGTTAAGAGATAATATAGTTCTTGTTAAGAAAAAACAAACAAACAAACTAACTCAGACAGTCAAACACACACATTTTCCAGCTGTTGTTCCTTGCCTGGGGACTTAATTTGGAAAAGCAAAATCCTTATATTTGACTTCGTTTTGGCATATGTAGCCACAAACCAGATTGAGTTAAATGACTGCTGATTAAAAGAAACAGAAAACAACACAAAAATGCCCAAAATATCTTCTGTTCTTACATGACTATTTCTTCCTTGAAATTGTCATTTGTATTTGAGTCAGAAATACAATTTTACCTGGAAATAATTATAGGTCTGATTCTACTGCCTTTAATGGAACAAAATCTTCATGACATTGGTGAAAACTTTGAATTAAGGAGTGCAAGATCAGGCTAAGTGGTTTAAGGCACTCTTTATGTTCTTGCTTCTGATTCACCAGAGCACTCAGGTGTGTGCTTAGGTTTAAGAGGGTTGTGTCATATCACCAAAGCCAATGGAAGTATTTAGAGGCTTTAAGTTAATATACCATTGGATCATTTGCTGAGATGAGAACAAAAAGAGAATAAACTTCATAATTTTTTTAATGCAAGGAACAGAAGTACAAATTACTGTATTAATTCTGTTGGATTCAGTGCAGATGCAGTCCTCTAAACAAAGACTTAAACATTTCCATATGCCAAGAACATTTTTTAACTGTCTCCAGATTTCCTAGGATTTAGAAATATTTGAGTGAGTACTTATATTTTCTAAAAGTGAGAGAAAAGTAATACTATAGAGAGGAGAAGCACAGACTAAGATTCCTCATTAAAAAAAAAAATCTTGCCAGTATATACTGTTTTGATCAGTATATCCATACTCTTTCAAGCCTTAGAAACCACAAAGATTCTCCTACCCTTTATCAAATACACAGACTTTTTTCTCCCAGAAATCATAGCTTCCATGTGACCAGCACATTAGAAACCAATAATAAAAAGTAGACATGTGCATATTTAGGAGTAAATTAGAGTAAAAGAAATACCCACAAGTGCAATCAATAAGTCATTGTAAAGTCAAGATAACTTACTGAATAGCTTTTCTAAGAATAAGTATAATTGCATTGGCAGGCAGGGACAGAGAGAAATACAACAAGGCTTGCTACATGGCAAGGAAGTAGAATTCTAGTTGTATTTTTCTATTTAATATTCTTTCCTCCATTATGGAATAATGGGAAAAAAAACCAAAATGACCTTCGGGATAAATATTTTTACTTCATCCCAAGGTAACACTTTTAGATAATTTTTGCTCCATTCTATTAAAAAAAAAAAACAGCAAAAAGGACAGATGCCTAACTCAGAAGCCTTTGATATTTTCTAAAATTGTATTTACAGTAACTAGTGGGATGCTTATAATTAGCAGCGATGTGTTGATTTGATAGCCTTCAGCTTCAGCACCCTGCACCGTTGTGCTACTGCACATATCTGTCAGGTACTACTTGTGCCAGAAAGAAACGTGTTACCTTATTGCTGAAATCCTGACTGTTGAAAAAAACTTGAAAAACTTGAAAAAAACCATTTTATTCTTCAAATGCCAAAAAACATAACAGCGAGATTAGCCGTGTGCACACCAGGTATAGGGAAGTGAAGGCATTAGAAATATCAACCCCCTGACTGTGTAGTGAAACCAAAATCCTGGCTGTGGATGCACACACCTTCTCTCACCACTCTCCTCTCTGCAGTTTCTTACGCCGCCCTCCACGGGAGCCGGCACCGCTCCCGGTCAGAGGGAGAGGTCCCTGGCCTGAGCAAGGGCAGCCACTCTTACAGCGTAAAGGTCAGAATTAAAGTAAGCCACCCATGTCATAGCCTAGGAAAAAGGCACTGCTGCATCCTCCTTCTTAAGAGAAATCTTCCATCATGACTTTCTCTGTCACAGGGAGAAGGGGAAGGGGACAGCAGGAGGGCAGGGGACGAGATGAGACGTATCCCCCAGTAAAGCCACTCTCGTGATGTCAACCCCAGTGCCAGAAAACGTACACAAATGCTTGCCTTCATAGATACTGACTAGCCCCAGTTAAGCAAGCCTGATTTCTCATGAGCCCCAAGTGTCCCATGGGTCTGTCTGCAAGTTTGTGACAGGAAAAGGATGAATCGAAGTTTTACTGGAAGGCCACCTTTGCATGTGTGTACATTTAGAGCAATTTCTACCCAGTTATGAACAAATACATAGCCATTCGCAACCCAATTTTGACATGTAATGACTCCACAGCTTCCCTAAAGAAGAGAGTGAATTCCTGGCACAGAGGTACCAAGCTTTCCACCTTCCTTGGCCACAGCCTCTTGTTGCCTACACTGGGATAGCTGGGCTATCCATTTCCAGCAGACAACACAGGCCATTATATTGAAATTGCAAAAAACATTTGCTAAACATAATTGTTTAGCAAAAGCACAAACACCATTTGGCCTTCACATGGAATTTCTTTATTTCAGAAACCTCTCAGTTAAATGACTTCTTTATGGACTCAGTATAGAAGAGGAATTGAATCTCTTTGGACTGGCTTAGCTTCATGTCAGAGTACATTTCCTGCATCTAGAGTACAAAGCACCTGTCATTTCTTTCCAGTCATTTTACATTTTGCACTTATATAAATAAAATCCTTGCTTCAGAATATAAGGCCTTCCCAGACCCTAGCACCAAAATCCTCAATGTTTTGGGGTGCCTATTTCCCCCTGCAAATTTCACATTCCCAGATGAGGAGACAAAAATGTATGTTTTTCTGCTCAGGAGGCTTTGCTGTCTGCATTGCATTAATAGGCTGCATAATACACAGCTCCATACAGTCTCTTTTCACCTCTGTAAGTGTAAGATGGAGGTAAAATAATAACAATGAGATATTGTTTACAATCATTTACCCTATTATAATTCAGCCAACACAAAACATCAAAAAATAAATAATAAGAGCTCCTTAAAATGCATACATCTAATCCCATTGTACCATCATTTTTGAAAAAAAATTTCCCATCAACGTTGATAGTGCATTCTGATTAATAGACACAAAAAACAGTGTTACTATCTCAGCACATAGCCCTTCTTTTAGCGATGCAAAACTTGACTCCCTGAACCTCAATATTTTCATAGAGTGCCTGTCATGTCCTGTGTGCTCTGCAATGCGCGGCAAAACCAAAGGGAATTCAGCTGTTTCACGAGCTACTTAGCATATAATAGACACTGGCCAGCAATGAAGAGGAGATTCAGATCTTTGTCTCCACGGATAACCTCTCAAAAGCATCAGTGATAACAAAAAGAGAAGGTTCATTAGTTTTTTTAATCACATTGTCTTCAGGCAAGACTTTCAGATTTCAAAAACTATAACAAAAAGCATCAAATGATCTTTAAAATGTAAACATCTAAGCAGAAGTTACTGAGAAATCAAACTGCAGCTCTACTTAGCTAATGGCCGGGCACTGCTGCTATTCCATATCTCTTACTAAATCTCTGGCATAATTAGAAAAGTACAGAAATACACAATACCATGAAGAAAACAAATACCTTGATCCCAAATCTGATAATACAACGCCGCAGAGTCCTCACTGTACATGCTGGTGTGCGCTTTACGTAAAATTAGTTTCACTATCACGAAGCGTTTAGTTAGTTATACTTCTGCAATTAATCACAGCTATTGCTATATCTGTAACTGCTATCTATTGCAACATACAGAGAAGCAAAAACTAGATAGATACACGTATAGATTTATTCAAGTTTCTCAGTGACACAACCTGAAAAACTCAAGCAAAGCCATTCTTAAAAAAACAAACCATGCACCGAGATCAATTTATAAGCCAATAAGAGAATTTTATTGTCCAAAAAACTAAAACAAAAAGAACACACCCGTGAGATCTTGCCACCACCATTAAAATAACATTCAGAAAGGTCCCGAGTATCAGGATAAGAGGTTCTAGAAAAGCACATAATTAACACCTGCATGAGAGAGAAACAAGAGCTGGTGCCTGTCACTCCCGCTTGCTAATATTTGTGTCCCCATCAACACGAGAAACATTTAAAAGTATCCAAAAGGTTAGTGCTCTTAGAAACCCCTTCTTTCCTTCCAGTGCACACCCTCTCCCCTTATGGCAGTCCGCAAACACATCCAAGTTGTCAGAATGATACCTACAAGAAATTTCAGAAGCTCTCATAAAAGGGCTTCGCATATGCAATCCACAGCACTGAACAGTGAATTTAAAAAAACCAATTTTTTTTCCGAGTTTGAAGTTTTTAAGCCTTGCGGATGGTTGGAGTAGGAAAAAGGAAATTTACTAGGCAGTACAAAGGAAATCTTGTTGTCCTCTATTGTGGCAGTGGGGGTGTTGCCCAATTCTAACTTATCTAGGTTGATAAAGGAAACCAAAGAACATGCCACTGAAAATAATTCCAACAAAAAAGGTACCCCTTTCTTACCTTAATAGTGCTTGCCATAATGTGATCAAGATTATTGATCGCTAATAATTGCTAATAATAATTATTGCTTCGCTCTGACCAGAAAGAAGTTTTGATGAGGTTGTTTAGAGCGGATGAGATTGTGCTAACTCTGGGAAATGAAGTCAGCCAATGGCAGGAAGAGGTTTCTATTGGTCCTGGCCACTGCAGCTCGAAGAAACAGGATATTTGGGAGTGAAGAGATAAGAGTCCTAAAACAATGTTGTTTTTCTTGATGATATGTGACTAAATTTTTTTTTTTTTTTTTTAACAAAAAAGTCAATTGCCTGTGACTGCCTGGGCAGGTGTGATCTGATGTGCAGTAAGTGTGACGTGCCACTTTGAGGCAGGATGCAGATGTCAGATGAAATGGGCCAAATTCGGCACCAGTTTCATGCAGTCTATTCACTGGGGAATTGCTGATTCAGGGCCAAAGCCAGACTTGGTGTAAGTGGGTGTAACTCCAAATATGTTAATGAAGTCTAGCCCCGTTTACACCACATCTATATTTGTCCATTAACTTCATTTCTGGATTCTTGAGCTGTTGACACTTTCTAGCCTATCTGATCTAGCACTCTTTTTTTTTTTCTCAGAGAAGAAGCAAGTAGATCGAAGACAATCATTTCTTTTTGATGCCTTTTTCTTACCGAGGAAAGGAAGTCACAAAAAGACATACATTTCAAAAGCAAATGCCTGAATACCATAAACAGTCTTAAATTTTCCACACTCTTCCTTTACTTCACGGCTCTATCCATGCATGAAAATGAGATAGTTTCACTGGCAATTCCCTTCCCGGTCAGAGTGTGATAGTAATTTTTTATTCAGTGTTATATTTTTATTTGTCCTTTTGTAGCATTTGGCAGTCACAGGGCACCCCAAAACTACCAGCTGTGCAAACAAAATACCATCCCTGTCCCAGACCCTTGCTTAGGAGTGCTGAACTGAAAAAAACAAACAAAAAAAAAAAGGATGGGAATAAGAAAGGCAAGGTGTTTCCATGGTACCAGCCAGCATAAATGTCCATATGTAAAGAATGACTCAGGATCCAGTGCTGGCACAACCCTCTTGCTCTTATGAGTCTTGCAACATTTTGTGTTTTTGTAAAAGACATGGTTCCTGGTGTCAAGAGATTCTGAGCTTTCATCTCGAAGAGAAAAGCTTGAAAATAGGACCCTCAAAAATTAAAGGAAAAGTTAAAAGAAGTCAGAATGTATTAATTTTTTAATAACCTTGTAATTTTTTAGATTTTAAAAATTTTAGAAGCTGGCCCTACCGGTTTATGATTTCTCAATGCTCCTATAACAACATCAAACCATGGACATGCTGCTTGAAAACACTGCAGCACTGGGTAGATAATTCCCACTGTAATAAGGTCCTGCCCTCTGACCAGGGACTCTGGTATGATAAAAAAGAACAAGAAATAGTGATGGCTTGTCATAGCATTATTTAGTGGAGGCAGATGACCTCACCCTCTCCCAATGCCTTCCTCTCCTGCTCCTTAGGAAAAGAAAAGGAAATCGGAGTGTTGTTCCATAACTGGTGATGACTGCTGGCATTTGGTATGCATTTTTTCCAAATGGTACACAATGACAGCGGTAAGTCCCAGTTCACTCTTCCCCTCCTATCCTGACCCGAAGAAGGTGAAACAGCTATGCACTTTTCCAGAGATGCACCCGGAGGACATGACGCGCTGCCTGCGTGGCCCCTGGGCATTCGTCCTACAGGCACTGCTCCATCTCATGCAAGGCAGGGCAGAGAAAAGGCTTGTCCACCCACCCCTGCTAATGAGAATGGCTCTCCCACCCATTAAGTCCTGGGAAATCCTCGTTTCCAGGTGCCCCATGGGGACTGCAGAGCTGGAAATCCCTGAACACAACAGACTGACGCAGGACCAGTACAATTGGGATCTGGCAGAGCTGCCTCTGGGGAGTCAAGCTTAGCGGTGTGTCTCCCAGTTGGGCCTGTATCCCAATTCATCTCCAGCTGCCTCACAAGCCTCAGGGCCTCCTCAGCCAGCCCAAGGGGCTCAGCAAGCCTCCAGCAGACTCCCTATCCCGACAGAGAGACTGGGAAGGGGAGAGCAGACACCCTGCTTTTCCTCCCTCCCTTTGGATCCTCAGGTGCCACAGGATCAACTCCCTGTACAAGTTTAGCTTGAGCTTATAGTTTACTTTAAGGAGCTCTGGTTTCTTCCACTGAAAAGATGACTTCTGGTCACTTCAGAGCAATCCAGAGCCAGCACTGCTGTGCAACAGTTTATATTCTCAATTAGTTGATTCAAATAGAAACCCGGTGCTGAATGCACTGCTGAATGTCTTCTTGCAGTCTACATCCACTGAATTACTGTGCTTCTGCAGAGTAGTTAACTTCTGGTAACTTTCCTATTTTCATTACGAACAGTATGAAAAGAAAGCAATTTACAGTAATTGTATTTCATGGGGATGTTGATTTCCTCCCTTTTCATCTCCAAACAATGAGCAAGACAGCCAAAAGATTAGAACCTTTTTCTTGAAATTTCAAAGCATTGTATAATGTTTCAGTTGGGTGACTTCCACTCCAGTTAAGTCCATGATATTTTGTTTTTTCTCAAATATATTGAGAGGCTTGAAGTATCAGTTCCAGCTTTCCAGTGGATGGGATCTAACAAATTCATTCACAAGGAGGTTTTTAGTAATGATTCTTCTCCAGCCTACCTCCATATAGACAAACCTCCTCTTGATTTATATAGGGCTTTTGGAAGCATAAGGCAGGCAATATCAGACTCTGCTGACCTCTATTATTATTATGTAAGTTTTAGAGAGCCCACAGCCCAGTAAGGATTTTGCCATTTTAAACTGGCACACATTCTGTGCCAAAGAATTCAGTGAAGTTTATTTGACTTTCAAGCTAATATCCACAGGCAGATTTCTGAGTGCTTATGCTTATGTCGATCCAATTGCAAGACAGAGCCTTGGTATTGTAAGGAAAGGAAAATATTGGGTTATCAAATCACCATCATCCAGCTACAAAAGAAAAATAGTACAAACACTTCTACTATTTGTCTCTTTTTCTGCATTTTGTTAAGGTTAAATAGAAGGAAAATAGGTTTTTGTTATGTTAGGCAACTATGTGCTATTGTCTGAAATAACGCTGTGTGAGTTTGAAAAAATGCGGCTTGGTCAACAAACAGAATGAAAACACAAAAAAGTATTAAAAATCCACATAAGTCACCTAACACTCTCTCCCCTCCTTAATTTCTCACTCAAGCTTGTCACCCTAATTTGTCTGGGCTCCTTTCTGTTGCAATTTTCTTCTACATTCAAGCCTGCATCTAGAAACCACAGAGCAACAAAATGCTACCGCATGTGCTTAACATTACACATGTGCTTAAGTTTCTTGATCAAAGCAGGGGTTTTGCACATGCTTTAGAATTACAGCTGTGCTTAAGTTCTTTCCTGAATACAGACAGGCATAAAGTGGCTTCTACCTTTAGGACTAAACAGCTCCCTCTTTAGAGAAAAGCTTTCTAAACTGGAGACAGAGGATCTGATCTGTGCTGACCTAAGCCTACTTAAACTAAGAGGGCCCTGTACAGACCTAAAGATTTGGTCTGACAATGCAAAAGAAGTGATTAAACTACATCCTGAACAAAGAAGATTAATTTCCAAAGAAAAAAGTTGTTTTGCTTGTTGCATCCTTTCTAGGATGTACTAGAAATATGTTCAATATGTGTGTACTCACCTAAACACATGTAAAATATTTCCAAAGAGATCCATTTCTCATGCTATTTGAAACACCACTACTAACTCTAAAACCCAATTCTGTCTTCAGGTTTTTTCATGTCATATCCACTGGAGTGTTAGGATGTAGGAAATATATTGCAATATTCCCTATCTAAACAGATCTGCAATCCATCTTGCTGCCTGGGAGGTAAATGAGGAATGCTGCTGTCAGCCTGGGCTGACCAAGAGACTAGAGGAGCGCTCTGCTATCCTCGTTGGTGCTGCTATGTCTTCTACTTTCACAGTGCCTCTTCAGCAGTCTGCCCGGATAGCTTCTGTCCTTTTTACTTTCAAAATGTTACTAGCACTGCTAATAACATGGCCTTCTTCTCTTTAACTACAGATTTCTTTACATTATAAATAACTCCGGGTAAATAATTGCGCAAGCTGGAGACACATTCCCCTTGGGTGTTATGCTTAGCATGCATACATACAGTGTCTGCAGATGTGGCTATTAAAGAAGAGAACAGAGAAAATAAAAGAAAAAGTAAGCTCTGTTCTTCTTACCAACATTACAGGTAAAAAGGAGGTTCTCCTCTAGGCAGAACCAGGCTATAAATCAAAAAACTTGAGTACAATAAAAGACTTTGCATTGCAGTTTTTGGAAGCAGCTTTTAAGAAATTCAGGCAAATTAATGCTACTTCATGGTACATGAAGATACACCTGTAAAGGTCTTAATCCTCTCAAAAAGATGTAGCATTTTGCTTAAATGTAGCTCCAAACATCAGTTTGGCCATACTGAGCTCGGTGTGTGAGGGCTAAATAGACTCTTTCCAAGTTTTCAGCACACCCTTCAGCGGGACTTCCTCCCTTTAATTCACAGCTTTCAGCTGGCTCTGAAGAAAAAGTCAGTAAATCTGCTCACAGAAGGGGAAATTCTCCCCTTACCAGAAAGAAAGCTCTCACAAACAGGCTTTTAGCAGGGGAACAAACAGGGGTGCTCAGGAGAGGAATGGAGTTCACAGCTGCGCGGCCAGCAGCTCAGGCGCTGATCTCCGGGATGATGGACTCTCGTCACCGTTCCCCAGGACTGTTGGGCCTCCAAGGCTGCTGAATGGATCTCTTCTTTCCACAGCTGAATGGGTCTGATGCAGCACCAGGTCTGAGGGCACAAGACAAACTCTGTCCTGGGAAAAATGGTGTGCAGCACTGGGGTAGGCTTGTGCCCATTGACCCATGGCTGGAAACGTGGAGGTCAGCTCTGGGAGGAAGCGAAGCGGGGCACTTGCTTTTGCCAAACTCCAATTACTACGTCAAAGCAAGCAGCCCATGTAAAGTGGTGTAATTAATAGT